AAAGCATTGTGATTCGTGTGTGCGCACATGCACGTCCCGTCGCGTTATTATCCTTCAACACCCGGCGCAAAAATCACCATAAGAAGGCTTGTTCTTACAGCTGCAAAAGACGAATGGTTTCTTCTAACTGTCCATGAGACAGTGAATAATTCAGATATTCATGCGGTCTCTGTATCGGTCTCCCTCATCCGTTTACGTGCACGCGTATTTGTGTTGATTGACAGTATTCATGCCACGCCTTTGCACGCAAAGTTTGGCAAGGCATTCCGTTTCGAAAGTAAATAGATTTGGCAATGACATTCTAGAGGAAGAATTGCGTTGTTACTGGTAATGCAGGAGAGGTTACATGCAGTCTTGCTGAGAAACAGGGTGCAGTCTGCAGAGAGTGGCGTGGAAGGAAGTTCCACCGAAAGCATTGGGCAGACTTTTCGTCTGTGACTTGTAACTTGCAAGGATAGATTAGATTAGAGATTACTTATAGTCCTGATGAAGAATTGTACTCCATGCTGGCTGCTATTCTAGTACACCCTCCGTCCCAAAATTCTTGTCTTAAATTTGTCTAAATATGAATGTACCAAATTAAGTTTTAGTATTAAATACATCTGTATCTAGATAAGTTTAAGACAAGAAACTGGTTTTAGGCCCCTAGAGACGTGCTTGGAAGAGTAAGATTGACCAGAGCAGAACCGGTAGCCTACCGTCCACGGGCACGTCCATGTCTTGTCCCTTTTATAACTCTTGATGAAAACACGTGGCTCAGGCTGGCAAAGAAGAGTGTTTTCTAGTAATTCATATCACACCCATTTTTGATAGAAAATTTGGTACGAGTTGTAAAACATTTTCAGAGGAAAAAACACCGCGTGCTACGGCCCGGGCCGTTTCCAGAAAAGACCAGACCAGCCTAGAGGACGGCCCAGCATTGAGAGGAATCCTCCTGAAGCCCCCATCCGTGTCGTCAGTGTGAACCGTGAAGACGTACGTGCGCAGAAGGGAACAAAATAGCTTGGACCATTCGGACGTGGTTCGCATGGCCGTTGCTCTGCTTCTTCGAGCTCGCACCGTCGTCGGACTCGTGGATCAGCCCTCTTCTCCGGTCGATCGCCGCGTGTTTATTGCTTTGTCGGCCGCTTGTCGCCATTGTTTGGCATCGACAGGCAATTTTTTGGTATGCAGATATTGATAATGCCGCCCTAGCTCGGATACACGTGGAAAGATCCACGGAGAACACGTTGTGCCGGCAAGGCGCGGACGGAATGATCTCTAGCATGAACAGAGGAGGCGCTGGCCGTGCGTGGATCGCCTGAAGATGATTCCAAGATCACCGGCACCGCCAACGGAGAAAAGGTCAAGCGAAACTTCCGGGCTCCGATTCACTGGATTGGTCGCGGTGCTACATCCAGCCAGTTCCTCGCAGGATAGGACACCTGTGCGTGAGAGTGTACTCGTATTGGACCATCGGCGATAGTATTTGTTAGGCCGGCGAGCTAGCGCGTGAGCATCGGAGTTTAGGTACCTAGAGATGTGCTTGGCAGAGCATGGTCTACCTGCATGCAGTGCTTGCTAGTGTAGCATTCGGCATAGCAAAACTGACGGGTGTACTATCGAGTGTCGACAGGCTCGTTGATGGTGCACTGTCCAATGTCGACAGGCTCATTCGTAACAAGGTTTTTTGTACGGGTCCCAAGAGCTCGGCTGCAAAAGGAGAGTTTTCCAGCCTAACCATACAATACAAATCTTCAGATTGTTGGGCTAGCTGCAAATTGGTGGGCTGTGTGAAAACTGTGTAGCAAAGACTGTTGAATTCATCTGTTGTGTATGCTTGCTCTTTAATGCCTTACCGAGCAGGCCTACAATCTGAAGATGATCGTTTGGTGCTGAGCAATGAGCTGAAATACGTACTTCCTCGTGTCAAAAATGCTTTTATATCATGAAACGGAGGGAGTACTTCAAAGGGAGGCCCTCACGGTTCATGAGGATGGACAGACGAGAGAGGAGGCAGGTGCAAACGGGAAGGTGAAATTGCAAACAATGGTGACAGCAATGCTATGGAGGACGATTGAAGAATTGCTCCAATTCCACGTTTATGACTGAAACTTCGTTTCTTCAGTGTCGGGTGCTTTTGAGGGGTGAAGATCCCCCATGTAATATATTTTTTTTCTGCCTGTTGTTGCTTCCCTTTAGCTTGTTGTTAGCATTAGATGCGGCATTTTTGGGTAGACTTGCTCGCTGGAACCTCTAAGTTTGTTGTATTAAATCAGCGACGAGTAATATGAAACGGAGGGAGTAGTAGTTGGGTGGCACTAGGATGCTTTTGTATTCCTTTTGTTTCGTTATTATTTCATAGTGGAACCCGATCCATTTCCAGATGAATCTTTTCCAATTATCAATGAGACGAACTCATGGCAGAATTATGTGTTCAGGCAAATTCACATGTAACACGGTCTTTCTCCATGAACTAATGTCTCCGTCTCTGTATCTCTTCCTCCCTCATGTGCATTATGCGCGTGTTTTTCCCCATGAGAAAAATTCATGTCACATCTAAATTGGTCAAGACACTCCAGAGTTCAACAAAATTCTAGTGGACAAGTTCTAGGGAACGAAGTGCGTACGGGCGTCTCGTTTTACTTTTGAAAACGAAATTCTAGAGCAAGAATTGTGTCTGTCACAGTCCGTGTTACAGTATGGGCCCTTAATCTAGAAAAGGCCATTATAGACGGCCCAAATTTGCAACTGAGCCGATTAAAACCCCACTCATGTCACATGCACAGAAAGAAATGAAGAAAGGAAAAGTAGCTAGCGCGTACCATTCGGATCTGTTGAGCGCCATCCGGAATTCACCATGAGCCCACCCGGACCAGCAATTCCGCCACGAATCCACGATCCATCGGACACACACACACAGAAGATTCAGATCAGCAATTCCGGGTGGTAGGATGGATTTTCCCTATATATATATATATATGTGGCCAAGTAGTGAGAACGAACGGAGCAAACCCAGAAGCTAGCGTTCCTACGTACCGTTCATCCAGTTCTTGGCGGGCTGGAAGTGGTAGGCGGTCCTGCTGCCATTGCGTCCCGTGCTCTCGCCCGCCGCGTCGGGGGCTACCGGCAGCAGCCGGAGAGAGGACGACGGCGAGAGGAGGAGGCAGAGGTGGAAGAAGGCAACGCACGCGGCGAGAGGGAGCCCGGCCATGGCCATGGCTGCCCGTCGCGAACCGAGCCAGGCAACGGCTGGTTCTTATGGGCTAATGGCGATCGGCGGTTGCTTTGCTCCGAGTCCACGGAAGGATCCTGGATTTATGGCCGGCCCCTCCGGGTCGTCTTCTCCGTGTCTCTAAGTTTACGCTTATCGCCGGTCTTCGTTCGTACGATACGAGAGGCGCCAATTTGATATGCGAGTGAGGCCGCCCTCGGGTGCATATGGATAGACGATGGCGTTGGGGTTGAGGGATCGGGATTCCTAGTCACCCTCTCGTTCGGTTTCTGGCTGTTATTTTTTCTGAGTTGGGAGTTTCTGACTTTTTGTTTCAAGATCTCGCCAGGTCTTCTGTATTTTTTAGTCAAAAAAGCTAAAAGCACCGCCCAAATGAGAATGGGTTTGGAAATGGGATCTACTTCGCTGCAAGCGATGCCTTCTCCCACGAAGCAAGATAAAAAGCGTAACTTAATCGCATCTCGCAAAGGAAAAACGTAACTTAATTCGCAGATTATGACATACTTCCTCCGTCCGAAAATACTTGTCGAAGAAATGGATAGAAATGAATGTATTTAGAACTAAAATACATCTAGATACATCCATTTCTCCGACAAGTATTTCTGGACGTAGGGAGTACAATACCTAGTCCACAAATTAGTTACAAGTAATCAACAGCCACGTTTGACCAAACATCTACGTATTTCTTTAATTATTTATTTACAATGGTGAGGTTTCCAAGGGTACTTATCATGATCAAAATATACCTGAGCAGCGGCAGCCCCGCTTCAATGCCTGGGCTTAGCCCCGTAAAAGCCCAAATGACTAGATAATAATACATTTATATATCCTGGAAATGATCAAAGTGATTCAAAACGGCACCGTTTGTCTTTCAGGCCAGGCTCGGGCTTCGTGTTTCTAGATTAGGCTTTTTTGAAGCCCGGCCGAAAGTCCATCCCAACCCGGTGTATGACCCGGTCTAGAGTGAAATAACAATTGGGTCTCTACAGAATATATTTTGAACCAATAATGGCATGCTAAAGAAGTGTCATTAGGATTGCTTCAATAGCTGGCCAACCGGGATGCTCGAATTCTTGAATTTTTGTGGAGCCTGCTTTTATTTTACAAATGACACTTGGCTATCATTTGATCATGTCATGTCTCTGAATTTGTTGTTCTTTTTTTTGCGAGGAATTTGTTGTTCATTGGAGCAAAACTAATCGTGTTAGAGTTCATGTATTTAGATTACAATTTAACTTGTTGAGTCCAAAGTCTCAAGAATTTTTATTCTCCACCATGAGAGATTAGGTGCAAAAGAATAATGTGTTGTAATTGTAACTTCCCATGCAATGATCTAAAGATCATGAGTCCGTGACACTGAATAATTCAGACAAGATCATGCCACACAACCTTTCTTCTTTTATCTGTTTTTTCCTTTGTTGTAGAAGAAATCATGTGACATTATTTTTTAACACCAAAAATTGGCACAATTTTGTTCCAGTGAATGAAAAAGAATACAATTGCCACAATTTTGTTCGAGTGAAGGACAAAAAACACAATTGCCACACTTTTCTGAGAGAAAAAAACAATTGCCACATCTTTTTTTGTGCAATGTGGCAGTTTGGGCCCTTCAGCTAGAAAGGGCCCGCCTAAAGGGCCCAATAATTGCAGGTGAGCAGATCGAGGCCCACTCCTTCCCCATGTGAAGCCGTGCACAGAAAGAAAGAAAAGGAAAGTAGACACCAACGCGAAGCCCAGGAAGAGAGCGGAGTGGAGGACGAGAGGAGGAAGAAGAAGACGCGGCATCATGGCGGCGGCTCATGCGGAGGCGGCGGCGTCCCCCACCCACCGCGCGTCCATCCAGGCGACGTCGACCCCGCCGTACCCCAGCGCGGCCCGGATCGCCGACTCCTCCTGCTTCCCCCAGTACACCGCCTCCCTCAAGTGTACGCATCCGCATCCTCCGCCCCTAATCATAAATTCCTAATCCGATCGCCCCCAATTCAGTTTCTGGCCATGATTTCTCAGAAATTTCGTGCGTCTGTGGTGGATCACTGATGAGGTTCTGTGTTCCCAGGTCTGGAGACCAACCAAGACAAGAGCAAGTGCCAGCAGCAGTTCGACGACTACAAGGAGTGCAAGAAGAGAGAGGTTCGCTTTTGTTTCCCCATCCCCTCTCTGGCCTTTTCTGATGAGTATATGATGGATGGATTCAAACTTCAAATTGATGCGCGCATCTGTTTTTTGTCTTGTAATATGTGTTTGTTTACTGCACTTGCTGAATGTTCAAGGGGGGCTGTAGCTTATGTCAGACAGCAAGTGCCAAACTTGAAACAGAAACTTGTTTGTTGTGGATCTGGAGCTTAGTTGTTCAAGTATAACCTTTTAAAGCAAAAATTAATGCACCTCATTGTTAATTTTTTTTTGTTTGCCCAACTGCTTTAAGCACTGTTGGTACAACATGAACTGGACTTTCTTGCGACGAAATCAGTGACTACGTGCTCTTAATACTCAATGACATCCTACCCGCAAAAATAAAAATAAAAATACTCAATGACATCCAAGAAATCATTTCCTTGCAAAATACTTTGCTCTAACATGATTGAGCCCGTATACAAGTCGTGTTTATTGTCGAGTAAGTAACAAGTGCATAAGCAGTAACGTTAACAACCCCATACAGAGAAGCCATTGTGACATGGATTGTCAAATTGCCAATGAAATGCAAACTGCAATCTACTGACTGACTGAGTTCATAGCTAGCTACTGATACTTCCTTTCTTTGTAGTGAGCTAGTGTATAGCATCCATTTTCCTGTAGAAGTCTAGCCTTGGGAATGTGCTTACATTCTGTTCTCAGTCACCAACTTTCTGCCATCACTGTAGTCCAGTTATGTGCATATGATCTCTTCTGGATTACAGAAACAAGCCTCCAGGGTGAACCAAGTAGTTACCTTTGAATGCTCTATTGAGAATTTATAAGGTCGTGTTTGGTTGCTTGCATGAGTCCTGTCCAGGTCCGCCAGAACTTACGTTTGCCGGTGTGACCAGTCTTCCACCATGCTGATGCTCTGCTAATCAGTTCACTCCTTGATATTGCTAATCACAGTTCTTTATTTTAGAAGATATCCATAAAAAAATAGAACATATCCATAAAAATAGACAAAATAAAAGAGGTTTATTGTTCATTTGATTTTGTCATTCCTTCTTGCTTCATGGGAACTAACTTTTTGTCAAACCACATAAATAAAAAGGTATATGGTGCTTAAATATATGAGAAATCCATTACCATGGGCTGCTCTGAAGTCTAAAAGATTCTTTACATTGGCGGTCTGTATTTAGTCATCTTGTGGTCCTTTACTTGAAAGTTGAAACTGTACAAGGGCAAATATATATTCATTGTACTGCTAATCTTCTACCTACGCATTGGAACCTTCCATGGTGCTTCTTTACCTTGCTGAGTTATCAATTTCCGATCTGAAAGCATCATCATATACAGTGGTGTCACTTGTACAGGGAAGCACTCTCACCCCAACCTATGTGATGTCGTACTATATTTGACAAAACATCTAGGCATACACATCACTTACATCCCTCTCTCATACGTCTTTAGCATATGTGATAAGATCTGGAAAGTGTTTGTGTGGATAAGGATACAAATAAGATCTGAATCATATCGGGGTTTCAATTAGGTTTGCATGGGAATTTCTGGGTTTCTTAGCAAGTCTACATGACATATGCTTTATTCAAATACTCCCTCCGGTCCTTTTTACTCTGCATATTAGAATTCTCTGAAATCAAACTTCACAAAGTTTGACCGTATTTATATGAAAAAATATCAACATCTGCCATGCTAAAGTTATACAATATGAAACTTTAAGTCATGACACATCTATTGATATTGATTTCAGATTGTGAATGTTGATACTTTTTTCTATAAAGTTGGTCAAACTTTACGAGGCTTGACTTCAGTCAAATCTTATATGCGAACTAAAAAGGACCGGAGGGAGTACCAATTAGATTTCAGGTTACCTGAACAAATGCTCTGAACTAATGTTTACCCGAATTTCGCTTTTAAACAGGACTTTTTCCTTATATGTGAATAACACTGAACAGTTATGTGTACATATGCTAGGTCGCTGCTTCCTATAGCTTCCTTTTTCTGAGAGTTGCATCTCACATTGCGCTTGCATTTCATTATTCACAGAGGGAGGCTCGGCTGGAACGGAACCGGAGCCGGACATTGTTCGGGTGAGAAATTGGAGGAGCACTGTGCAGTGAACTGGAAGAGTTAATGCTAGTGAAACCATGACTCGGTTGATTTCCTGATGTTAATTTAAGCTGTTGAAGTTAGAAAACAGTAGAGCACTCTGGGTTCAGAGAGATGTAAGGACAAGATGTCACTAGAGAGTTTCTTCAATAAAATGGTACCCCCAGAAACGCTTGAAACCACGTCAAGCCGATGTGGGATGTTTCTGTATTTCAGTACTGTATGTTGTTTTGATGTCCTATTGAATTCTGAAAGACTGTAAGAGGTTTATAAACAAATAGTTGGGCAGAAGTCTTGTGATTGCGAAGTTTCGTCGGAACAAAGAGGATATTGGGGTTGTTCTCTCCCGTGCCAGGCAGAACACTTGGATGTCAAGTGTTTTAAATAGGAATTTTTCCTTGTATACTTGGATTGAACTTGGGGACTTGAGGATGTCACGTGCTTTGCTTGATATCTTCAGCCATCTCAAAACCAAAATTAAACTTAAACATTGCCATACCGGCTCCTTGACCAGAGCACTGGAAGAGCATCATCGTGTGGGGGCGGCGGTCCTCTCCAGGATCACCGCCCACCGCTCAGCGTCCAAAGGTTCGCCGAACTGTGGTCGCCAATTTGGGGATTTCAAATTCGTCGGGTGAATCTGACAAAATTTTGTTCATGTTGGAGAAAATTTTGTCGAAATTCCATGACATTGTTAGTGTTTTGAGTGACATCCTGTACTTTTCCTGAAGATGGAGCAATTTTTTACACCACAGGTGCAGAGAATGGCGGAAGTACCACAGGTGTAAGGAACTTCGTAAGACTGAAGGCGCAGAAAGTGCAAGCTTTAGCTATGAGATGAGCAGCCCAGCTCAAGAGAGAGGACACTTCTGGCCCCACAAGCACCACCGGTGTAACGAGCCATCTTCCGCTGATTCTGATCAAGAGGGAAGCAATTCTGGAAGAAGTTTGTCTCAGACCCAAATGGTAACTCTAGGGATGATAGGACGAGGGCCATGTGTTCTCTGTCATGAGGCAACACAAAGGTGACGGTGATTCAGATTTTCCTGATGAAGAGGCTACTTCTGGCCCCAATGTTTGATGGTAAAGTCGCGATGCTACGTGTTGTAGAAGAGAGGATCGGAAGAAGAAGGTCCCTTTAGATAGTGGCTTTTTCAGTGGCAGATCTTTCAAGGAGATTGGCGGTGGCAATGAGATTCTAGGTGCATTGAGGGTTTCCTCAACCATCACATATTCAGGTAAACACATTTTTCTTTTCTTTCATTTCATTTACTGCACCGAAAAATATATTGAATTGTTAGCTTAGTGTCCATGAATGTTGCATATCAATTGGTCACCAGTAGAAGACTCAGTAGTCAGTATCTTCATCGCCCATGCACACTTACTGATTTCTTACAACCATGCATGTATGAGTTTTTTTTTTTCTTGAGTAATTGGCAGTTTTGTTGCCTGCATATTAAGATGGAGAAAAGAGAAATACAAAGTTGGTGAAGCACGTGGTGGGATCCTCTTGCTGTGGGACGACCATCGTGTGTTCATCTCGGATGTCGTGGTCACTCCCTTTTGTCTACCTGCCATGGTGCACTGCATTGGGTCCAATGTTAAGGTCAAAATTACCTCCGTCTACGGTCCTACGTCGTCAACACTCAAAGATGCTTTCTTTGCTGAGCTCCTCTCCCAGAAGCCTCCCTCCGGAGACCTATGGCTTGCCCTTGGAGACTTCAACCAAATCTATCATGCTTGGGACAAGAACAAGCGCAACGTCAACACTAGCCGCATCAGCCGTTTCCGGACAACTCTCCAGGCTTGTGAGCTCAAGGAGATCCACCTTTAGAACCGGCGCTTCACGTGGAGCAACGAGAGGCAGAACCCCACTTTATGCAAGCTGGACTATTTCTTCTGCAACGCGGAGTGGGATGCCCAGTTCGGCACCCACATCCTTCATGCTCTGTCCTCCTCGTTATCTGACCATTGCCCCCTGTTGCTCGCGGATGCAGTCAGGCCGACCAGGCCGAAGACTTTCCGATTTGAGAACTTTTGGGCCTCCCTCCCGGGATTCAATGAAATTGTCTCGGGGGCTTGGGAGGAGCATTCGGAGCACTCTGAGCCTTTCCAGGTGCTGCATCACAAGCTAAAAAAACAAGCGTCCGCCTCAGTGCTTGGAGCCGCAGACTGCTCTCCAACGCCAAGGTTCAGCACCACGCCGCCCTTTGGGTTATTCTCCACCTTGACATTGCTCAGGACAGCAGACCCTTATCCCAGGATGAATGTGACCTCAGGAAGCGGCTCAAAAGGAGGGTCATGAGTTTGGCTGTTCTTGCAAGGGCGCGAAAAAAGCAATGTGCTAGGCTTGCTAACCTCAAGGAGGGGGATGCGAATACCAAGTTCTTTCATCGTCGCGTCAATGCGAGGCGTCGCAAGAACCACATCCACCGGCTCAAACACAACCAAGGGTGGGTCACCGACCATGACCTCAAAGCGCAAATTATTCACTCGCACTTCTCCGATGCCATGGGCAGAGATAAAGAGAGGGACTATGATTTTAACTGGGATGAGCTTGACTTGGGCTCTCATGACCTCTCGGCGCTGGGGGAGCCCATCTCGGTGGAGGAGGTCCAGGAGGCGATCAATCAAATGCCAAGTGACAAAGCGCCCGGACCTGATGGGTTCACGGGGCTCTTCTTCAAGAAATGTTGGGACACCATCAAGGATGACATCATGAAAGCCATCTCTCTCTTCAGCAACCTCCGAACCGCAAATCTGCAATGGCTAAACTCCGCTAATGTTGTTCTTCTCCCGAAGAAGGAGGGAACCGAGTGCATCCTGGACTACCGCCCCATCAGCCTCATCCACGCGGTAGCCAAGATCATTGCGAAAGTTCTGGCCATCCGGCTTGCTAGCCATACGCACTCCCTTGTCTCCCATGCCCAGAGCGCCTTCATCAAGACGAGGAGCATCCATGACAACTTCATGTATGTCAGGAATTTCGCGCGTCGGCTTCACAAGCGCAAGACGCCTGCGCTTCTCTTTAAGCTGGACATCCGTAAGCCTTTCGACTCGGTGAGGTGGGAATACCTGCTGGACCTCCTTCAGAAACGAGGATTCCGTAGCATCTTTCGGAATTGGGTCGCCGCCCTGCTATGCTCCTCCTCCTCGCGCATCCTGCTGAATGGGTTGCTGGTGAGCCAATCGTCCATGGTTGTGGCCTTCAGCAAGGCGACCCCCTGTCTCCGCTTCTCTTCGTCCTCGCGATCGACCCTCTCCAGAAGCTGCTTGAGGTCGCCACTCGGAAAGGGCTATTGCACAAAATCCGTGGCCGAGGTGTGGCGCTGCGCACCTCCCTCTACGCCGATGATGCTGTTGTCTTCTTGGCCCCAATCAAAAGCGACGTCGACAATCTCTCCAACATCTTGCGTCTATTTGGGAATGTCACTGGTCTGTGCACCAACTTCCTGAAGAGTTCGGTCGTCCCAATCCGATGCCAGAACATCAACCTGCCGCACGTCACCCAAAGCTTACATGTTGTGGCTGCTTCCTTCCCCATCAAATACTTGGGCCTGCCCTTATCTGTTTGGCAACTCAAAACAGTGGACTTCCAGTTCCTCTTGGATAAGGCGGCGGCAAAGCTAGGCGGCTGGGACGGCCAAAATATTACCGCCATTGGGAGGGCGGCCTTGGTCAAGTCCGTGCTCTCCTCCCTGGCGGTCTACTTCATCACCCCACTCATTGTGCCGACGGGCACTCTACGACAGCTCACAAAGCTTCAGAGGGCCTTCCTTTGGGCAGGATCGGATAAGACAACTGGTGCAAAATGCAAGGTGAATTGGGATATCGTGTGTAGGCCTTCCGAGTTTGGGGGCCTTGGCGTACTCAACACGGAAAAATTTGCGAGGGCACTAAGGCTGCATTGGCTTTGGTTTGAGTGGAAGGAGCCGTCCAAGATGTGGGTCGGTTTGGGGAACCCGTGCGACGACAAGGACTATGATCTTTTTTACGCCTTCTCCACCATCACTGTTGGCAATGGAGCCCGCACACCTTTTTGGGATGCTCCTTGGGTGCATGGGAGAAAGCCCAAAGACATTGCTCCGCTCATTTATGGTGCCGCCACAAGGAAGAATTGGAAAATCAGAGAGGCTCTGTTGGACAATGCGTGGATATCCAAAATAAAGCTGTCACACGATTTCTCGATTCACCATTTCAGCCAATTCCTCCTGCTCTGGTCTAGCATTCAGGGCTTCCAACTGCAACACGACGCGGAGGATGAGATTGTGTGGAAGCATACTGACAGTGGACTCTACACCGCGGCTTCTGCCTACAAGGCGCAATTTCATGGCATGATCCGCTCGCCTCTGGAGCATGTTATTTGGAAAGTTTGGGCCCCTCCCAAAGTGAAGTTCTTCGCTTGGTTGGCCGCCCAAAATAGAGTGTGGACCGCTGACCGATTGGCCAAACGTGGATGGCCAAACTGTGGCCTTTGCCCCCTTTGTAGGCATGAGCAGGAAACAGTGGATCACCTTCTCCTCCGATATCGGTTCACCATCCGGGTATGGAACATGATCAAGGGGTGGCTGCAGATTGAATGCATTGATACCGCAAGCTGGCAGCACTTCGAATCTGCCAAGGAGTGGTGGATCGCGCTCTCCGACTACTCCGTCCCCAACAGGAAGGCGGTGGCCTCCCTCACATTGCTCACCTCTTGGGCCATCTGGAACGAAACATAATGCGAGGGTGTTCCGCCACAAAAGTGCCCCGCCATTTGTAATTCTAGCCCTCATCAAAGAGGAGGCGGCACTTTGGGTCGCCGCCGGTGCTAAGAAGTTGAGTTCAATCATGCCGGGAGAGTAGTCCCTTTGTAAGGCGGTGTTGTAATCCCTCAAACTCTTTCTTCTCTCTTAATTAATATATGAGGCAAATCTTTTGCCTCCTTTAAAAAAAAAGTTGGTGACAGGAACTGGTACATAACAAAGATGCTAATCTGGCTCCGGTTCAGGGTTCATTTTGAGCATCGGATAACCAATGAATATAAAGAGATGGCTGAAGAATGTCATCCTTATAACTAACTAAAGTACGCTAGAAATGAAGTACACTAGCGATTCTCACGGCCTGGAACAAATGGAAGGAACGCAACAGGCATGTACTCACTCCTTCCCAAATTACTTGTCGCAAAAATGGATAAAAATGGATGGGAGGAGTTGCATTATTGCTGATCAAAGCAGGTCTAGCAAGACATTGGCATATCTTTGTCCTAAAGTTCAAAATTTAAGGAAGGGAGAAGCTATGGGATCCACAGATCATCTCCCAGGAACCCACAGTGTCATAATATTGACACCTACTGCTGAACTTTCTTCTCAGGTATACTATACTGCTTGCTGAATGTGATGTTGCCGAGGCTTTATGATAGTTCTAGTGTGAATTTGAGGAAAATAACTATGGAATAACCTGTTGAGTCATTTCTCTAAGTACAGGTCCTTCAGAACTGCACGCAATATCCTAAGCTGGGGTTCCTTTCAGGTCTATGGTTGCAAACGGTGAAACGGTGGATTTCGACATAAGACGCAGCTAGAAAGCCTTGATGAAGAGCTAGATGTACTTATAGCAGCACCTGATCATTTCTTGTATCTGCTTCAGCCTTCAGGAAGGCTTTTGTGCAACTAGATAACCTCAGATAGTATGGCTGCCCCTATTTCCAGTCATTTTTGAAGTTGAAGAGAGAAAAATAAGTGGATGCACTAGATAGCCTAAGACCTAAGTTAATACATTGTTCCCCCTAATTGCAGTGCCGTGTTCGATTCGATGAAGTGGATATTTTATATTTAGTGAAGAAGGCTTTGAACAAGTGTTTCATCAGTTCATTACTGTTGCATCAGTTGATTGCTCACCTTCTTAATTTCGGTAACCTTGTACTATGCTGCATATACTTTCTGAAAATGCTTCTAGGAAACATACTCCTCAAGTGACATATTCCTTGTTGCTACTCATATCATTTACAATTTTAGATTTCTTTTTGCAGAAGGTACAAACGACTCAGATATGTAATTGCATAAAACAATGGTATTGGTATCATGTGGTATTGTTCTCCTAGAGTGATTACAATCTACATTGGTACTGTTACACTACAGATACTTGTGGACTGCAGTGGAAATGATGATAAGTATCCGGAAAATGCCTTTTTGAACAAGAGAACAACACTTCTAAAAGTTATTGAGGAATCTCCAGTTCGTAAAACAATTATTTCTGCAATAAGGTACTAGGTCCTCTCCCCTGTTTATCTCTGTATATCATTATTTCATCAATACCAAACACAACTTGCTAAAATAAAAATAAAAAAAATCAAACATAACAAAGTCCCACTGTCTGTCAACTAGTCACATGATTTATGTTCCCAGATTGAAACATGTAGTAAGGTTGAGAATGTGCTGACGCGGTTTGACACGAAAGCATCACAGATCAAGGTTCCACAATGCATTGGAACAGGCAAAACGCATCGCAAACATGAAAGAGTTACTGAAGACAGGTGTGTATTCAACTAAAGTGCAAGGCATTCATGTTCAGATTCAGAAGTGGCAACTCACTGTTGGGGGCAGATTCATACAAGCATACAGTAATAGAAGTACTACATCAAGCTGGACTTGTTAAAGTTGCTGTTGTGATAAGTTCAGAAAGATATATAAAGCATGCAGAAGAAACAGGGAGCTGCTGCTGTTGCATGCAGTCAGACAGTGCTGTTGGATGGACGTCTTGCCTTTGCTGAAGATGTGTGGAACAGCTAGCTGATCGAAGCAGATTGAACTCGACTGTCTATTCGCGGATGTGGAAGAGCTGGAGCTGGGCGTTGTGGAGCATGGCGCGGGTCCGCTCGTTGGCGGCGTCGCGGGCGCGCAGCTCCCGGATCTCCTCCTCCCACTTCTCCACCCTCTCCTTGTGGATCCTGGCAAGGCAATACAGCAAGCAGGTGGTGAGCAACCGAGGAGCGAAGCACGGCGGTGCGATGCCGCTTGCTGCGGCGAGTTGCTTACGTGCACAGGCGGTCCTCGAAGTCGGCGGCAAGGTCCTTGAACATGGCGCGCCCGGAGTCCAGCATCTCCGACACCTGCAATGCAACGCCACCCGCTGATCGTTCATGTCTCCGGCCAGGCCATCGCGGGCCGATCAAGGCGGGATCGAGGAGGAGGAGGAGAGGACGAAGAGGCCAGTGGACCTTGCGGGTGAAGTTGTCGATGGCGAGGAGGATGCGCTGGACGTGCTCCTCCGTCTCCGCCGAGCCCACCACCTCAGCCTCCGCCGCCGCCACGACGGCCAACTCCTCCCCGTCCATCTCCGCCGTGCCGGTCCTCACGGCGACCCCGAGGGACGCCGCCGCCGCCCCTCCCGCGCTCCCCTGGCTCCCGTCGTCGTCGTCGTTGCTCTGCACAAACGCGTGGAGATTTTAGCTGACGGCACAAACTCGAATCAAACTCCAAACATCGGTGAGCAGTTCCTCATCCGCGAGGGAACAAACACATTGGAGCTGAAATCGCAAATCACCGAGGCACACCCACATCCCATCGATCGGTGTCGAAATTCGAACACGAACTGGAAACCCCATCCCCAATTAGACCCGAATGGTCTGCTCCCCATCACACGCTCCGCCCAAAATGCCAAGGTCGATCGGGGTCGAATTCGAAATCTCCCGAAGCCAAAAATAAAAATAAAAATTCCCCAGTCGCCCACCACCGCCAGGGAACAGACGAACAACTCGTCAGAACCAAAAAAAGCCGGACCAACGCACGCACGAGCAGGAGCAGGAGCAGAGCAGACCAAGCTCACGCGAGACAGCACGGAGGGGAGCAACCACGGCTCGCGTCGCGGCCCCGAAACCCTCGCCCAAAAACTGCTCGCGGCGAGCGAGACACGCACGAACGCACCCCCAAATCGGCGGACGCGCCCGGGAACACGAATCGAACAAGCAGGAGAGAGGGGGAAGGGTAGGGGGTGGGTGGTAGGGTTCTCTCACCGTGCCGGCCGTGCGCGCCCGCTTGGCGATCTCCCGCCTCGCCTCCATTCCTCTCGCGCGCTCGCTCGCTCGCTCGCTCACACTAGAGGCGGCAACAGAGGGTAGGAACTAGTAGGAAGCAGCAAGGGTAGAGGGCAGAGAGATGGGGTATATGGGCAGAGGAAGCGGACTGACGAGCCGCTGGGCTGGGCCTACTGGGCTTCCACGGAACGGGCCTCCTTCCGGGCTATGCCTCAAAAGGTTTACTTGGAATGCAAGTTTGGCTGCCAGCTTGCAACAGCCAACGAATTTGGATCAAACTCTGCTGCCTATATTAGATGGAAAAAAGTGTTCCTAAAACAAACATAGATGAAAAAGTAATTAATGAGCCAGAAGTGGATTCTGGACCCTTAGATGAAAAAGTAATGAGCCAGTTTTTGGTCAAAAGTTGGACTATATATTTTTTGCAGACAACCTTGCACTTTGTACAAACTAACCAACACTTCACAGCACACACTCCCATAAAAAATCTGTATGTTTATTTCTTTTGGCCTGAACACAAAAAGGTTTCGATTTCAGATCCATTTAGACTGTTATTTCTTTTTATTGATGAGATCTTCGAAATAAGATCAATGTTGAATATGTTATATTTTTTTTTACCTTTTTGAAACTAGACTCGGAACTTGATGTACTTGAAGCATGTGCACGCGGGACCCACTTGTGTGAGACAGTGAGAGAGAGGCAAATATTTCTGACCGACAAATTACATAATGTGTAAATGTTGCAGTCAAGTTTCAAGTTAAGTTCGAAAAGGCCAAAAATAATAATTATGAAATACTCAACATTGATCTTGATTCAAAGATTTCGTCAAAACAGAGAAGGAAGTCAAAATGATTCCGTAGTCAAACATATTGTTCAAAATTTATGACCTTACTTTTGAGGCCAAAAATTAAACACGCACGTTTATTTATGAGAGAGGGAGATGTGAAGTGCTGGTTGATTTTGATAAATAAATGGATCAATGTTTCAATAGTCCATCTACCATACACTACTGGCTTAGTTAGTTGGACTATCCAATGTACCATCCAGGCAAGGAGATTGCTTTCTTGTCTTCTTTGTGTGACCATGTGGTGTATGCTTACTTCTTGGAAGTGGCGTAGCTAGGGGGTGGACAGGGTGGTCCATGGACCACCCTGAAATTTTCCCCATAGCCTATATATAGTGTAGAAAAAAAAGTAATTTTTGAAAATACGTAGATTTACATGAAAATTTGCATTGTTGGACCACCCTGGCTCACGGAGCTGGCTACACCACTGCTTCTTGGGCAGGAAGATGCTTCGCTACTTTGGTGACCATTGCCCCTTGCAGGGGGATTAATTTATTTTCTGGCCTGCAGTGTGGGAGTCAATGTGTACACACCATATATATATATATATATATATATATATATATATATATATATATATATA